GTGGTACAGGGGCTTCAGGCCTTTTGTTCATGGGGTCGCCATGAGTTGTGCTTGACTCAAAGGCAGTCCACAACAATCAATAATTTGGGATGAAGCTTTTAGCACCTTTACCTCCAAGGACCATTCTGGCTTCACTTTCTCCAAAGCATATCAGCTTGTTCTTTGGCAGTTCATGAGAATTCAGCACTCTTCTTAACACCACAGCTCAAAGGTATCAATTCTTCTTCTGTCATCCTTATTCATTGTCCAGCTCTCAGATGCATAGCAAGTGATTGAAAAGACCATGGCCTGAATCAGTTACACATTAATCTTCAAACTAACATCATTGCTCTTCTAACTTCAGACTTTCCCAATGCAATATGTCTCCTGATCTCCTGACTGATGGTACCAAAGATATTGATTGTGGATCTAAGTAAGAAGAAATCACTGACAGTTTCAGTGTTTAAAAATTTTAATCTTGACTAAAATTCATTTAGTGGCTGAGTCCTTCCTAGGTTTCTCCCCGGGCCTGCATTTGCCCGTCTTACCTGGTTTTCCTTCCTCCATCTTTACATTGCACTGTCCAAACTGGCCCTCACATTTATCATTCCTTCTGTCTGGAATTCTCTGTGCCCTCTGCCTAGGTGTTGGCTGTGCCTTTGTTTTTGCTTAAGATGTTTGGTGGTGGAGACCTCCACTGTAACTGGGTCAGACTTCCCGCTGTGTTCCCCACACCCATTATGCCCACCTCAATAATGGAACCTGTAACACTGCATTGTGGTCATTGTTTGTCGTTCCCACTAAAGAAGTTCCTTGTTTGCTTCAGAGTCATGAGCACTCAGTGCACTCCCAGGGTGAATTGAGTGAGTGAGTAATCTGAAACTTGAGTGGTAGTTCTGCCTTGAGTGGTAGTTTTGTGGACGAGGCCCTTCTCTCTAGGCCTCTGTGCTTTCGTCTGCACAATGAGAAAGTTGGCTTAGATGGTCTGTGGGAACTCTCTGAGTCTAGGTTTCTTTTGTTCTATGATCATTCTCCCTCACATGCTCGCGCATGCACACACATACACACACCTGAAAGTTGTTACCAGCTGTCAGCCTGAGTAATTTCGAAGTTTCCAAACTGAGCTTGTTCGAATTCACTGCATCCATTATGGCCTGTCCTCCATCTGTTCACTAGCTGAAGAGATGAGAGCCATACCAGCTTGCTTGGCTCAGGCCTGCAGGGCTGATTATATCCCCGAGCTTCCTTTCTCTGATCGCTCTCAGAAGTCACAGAACTCAGACGTGCCTTCCTGGACCTGCTTTCTCATGCTCAGCTTCACTCTCTAGGTTCCCGTTCCTTAACCTGGCTCAGGATGGGGTGTTTCTGGCCTGGCTTCTCTGTCTTCCCTCTACTCTCTAGCAACTCACGCTACTCCCTATTGTCTGCCCACCTCCTTTTGTACAAGGTGGAGAGTACACCACTCTGTTTTTTAAACAAAAGATTTATGCAAAAGGTATTTTTTTGTACAAATAATTACAACTATATTTGGTTACTTATAGGGTAGTTCAAGACACAGCTATTTACATATGTGCTATGCCGTGTGTTCCTGTTTTAAGTAGTGACTTCTGTAGGACACTCCTACTCAAACACAAACCAAGCTATCTTCCCTTACCTGACCACATTCTTCTATTTTTGGCAAGGTGATATAGTTTAAACAAAAAAAAAAATATGGAACGCTTCACGAATTTGCGTGTCATCCTTGTGCAGGGGCCATGCTAATCTTCTCTGTATCGTTCCAATTTTAGTATATGTGCTGCCGAAGCGAGCACGCAAAAGGTATTTTGAACAAGATTTGAGCAAAAGATACTAGGAATGAACCTGGCAACTTAAGAAGACCAGGACCATATAATACCACTTTCCACAACCTATCTTAAGAAAAACTTTTTTTTTTCCATACTTGAAAAACTGACTATTGGCTAAGGACATTTTATGGAAACGAATGGATTCCCTAGGGAGCTCTGGTGGCCCCGTGCTAAGGAGTTGTCCTGTATATGGTTCTAATCCACCAACTGCTCCACAGAACGATGGGCAGTTTCTTCCCATGTGACTTACAGCCTCTGAAAACCCACTAAACATCAGCAGTGAGTTGGTTCCAATTGGAAGGCACCAAAAGGTAACAGCAAGAGGTTGTTGTTGTTGTTGTCATGTGCCCTCGAGTCCTTTGTGACTCAGCGACCCTATGTACAACAGCCCTAAACCCTGCTCTATCCTTTGCCAATCACACTGTCTCGGACACACCCATCCCGATTATCCCAGTCACTGAATCAGTCCACCTCAGAGAGGGCCTTCCCCTCCTGCGCTGTCCCTCCACCCTCCCAAGCATGATGTCCCTCTCCAAGGACCAGTCTCTCCTCACAACATGTCCAAAGTATATTAGACGAAGGCCCAGAATCCTTGCCTCCAAGGAGTAGCCTGGCTTAACCCTCTCCAGGATGAACCTAGGAAAAACACCACTAACCAGCTCCCCGGATTTTTACATGTAACTTGCACTCCTGTAGAATCCTCCTAGTGTCCATAGGGAACCAGCCCATGAGGAGGAGGTTGTGCTATTTGCAAAACTGAATTAATACACAGATTTTGTTGCTGTTGTTATGTACCAGTAGAAACCAACCCATAGCTGACCTTCCAGAGCGTTTTCTGAGGCAGTGTAATCCCGAAGGAGGAGATTGTTGAAGAGAGAGAAAAATAATGCAGATTAAGAGGGACTAGACAGTGGTAGGGCTTTGCACTTTTGCACTTTTAAGGTAGTTGTCAAGGGATGGCCTCTTTGAGAACACAATAGCTTAATAAAAGCAGACCTGAAGCAAGTGGGCCAAGCAGATAACTGAAAAGAGAGAACAGCAACAATGAGTGAATGGAATTCCAAAATCTCTGTAGATGTTCATTGAAATGAAAAATAAATAAATTAATTTTAAAAATATATAAACAATTTAAGAAGAATTTAAATCATAGGACTACACCCATGAATATATACAAGATTTTTTTTAAAAATATAGATTTGAGTGAAAATTATAAAAAAAAGAGAGAGAGAGAACAGCAAGTATGGAAGCCCTGAGGCAAGGGCATGCCTGCCTTGGAAACAGCATTTCCTCTGAGTAAGCTAATGGAGGGCTATAACTGGAGGGGTGGGGGGAATGAGATTAACTTAAGGTTTTGATCTGAAAATCATTCTGGTTTTTCGTTGAAGGCAAGAGGGCAAGGATGAAACCCATTAAACAGCTCTGAAAATAGCAGCCCTGTAGACAGGTAGTGGCAGTGGAGACAGTGGTAGGAAGAGATTGGATACTGCATGTAATTTGAAGATGGAATTGGTTTACTGAAACCTGAAAACAAAAAGAACCAAGAATATCTCCACTGGTTTTAGCTTAAGAAACTGGGAAAATCTAATGATCAATACCCAGACCTGTAGATTTGGGGGGGAAGGGAAAGAGCTTGGTTTAGGTCATATTAAGTTCAGAGCACCTGTTAGACAACCAGTGGGGAGAGAGAACAGATGGACACCTGAATACATGAATCAGCATTCAGGGAGCGGAGCTAATGAGAATTGTCAGCATGTAGATAGTTTTCAAAGCTCTGGGGCTGAATGCGCTCACCAGGAAAGTGGATGTATATGTAAAATGGTGCAAGTCCAAGGACTAAGTCCTTCCATTGGAGAAATGAATACGTGAAAGATAACAGATGAAAAATAGGTACACTAGAGTAGAACAGACCTATCTGTGTTCTTGTGTATGAAATAGGAATTATTTTTTTTTCTTTTAGTTGTGGCTTTCCATCATAGTCAAGTGTATTTTGGGGAACTCAAGGTAATTGGTATGTGACTCCTCAACTGTATGCTCATGGTTATCTTTCCATTTGGACATGGGCTGTATTTTCTACGTTATTGTGGTAGGATTAGCATAGGTGTATCATTCATCTCCTTAGAAATAGAAAAGAAATTACACAAATGAGCAAGCAGAGATGGAGTGGGGCCGGGGGAAGATAGACACCACTGAAAGGTGAACGGCATCGGCATCACAGGGCAAAGACCTTCCCCAGAGCGAACAGAGAACTGGCCTGAGGTCGGACTTCTGACCTCCTGAACAAGAAGCAAATACATTTTTGTTTACTTAAGTCATCCACTTAGGGAATTTCTGTTCTAGCAGATACATGAGACAGTAGAAATGTAGGAAAAAGGGGGATGTTTTTCTCAGTTTTCAAATAGGAATGTCTACTGTCCATCCTGGTCAGCAATTTTATTTCAAAATAGACTTTGCTGTTTTTCTCAATAGACTCTTGACTCTTCCTTGTCAAGGTCATTTTCCTTGATTTCCCCCCCCCCTCTAAGAAATGTCTCTCTTTAAAAGTGAAGTACACCCTTCAATTACCCTCTTTTTCCCCAAGAAAAGCATTTCTTTATAAAAACCCCTGGACTATGAATTTAAAAAGCATTGTTACATTTTTGAAGGACATACAGCCCAGTTGCCTTTTAACTTGGAGTTTCAGCGTCACCAGAACGTAAAAGTGATAGCATTGGAGCTCTGTCATATTTCTTACGTAATTCTAGGGCATTTGCTTGGGAAAGTTATGAGGTAATTTGAGAGTGTGGTGGAACTTGTCTGACTCATTATTTGTCCTTCTCATGGCTGGTATTTATATTCTCTTCAGAGGTTATTTCTGCAAATGAGGGCTTTGTTTGAGATTCTGCTGTAGACAGTAAAAATCAATTAATTCTGGGCGTAATAGAAATTCTGACTGAGTTTGATTCACTGGCTCATGTTGTCCTTGAGGCTGTCATCCCTTTTGAATGTGTTTCTTGTGTAATAAGTGAAGATCAGCTCAGTTTTCCAGTGACACAATTTGGGTTCTTGTCTTATTAATCAATAATGGCAGTCAGAGAAGACCTACTTACGCCTCCTTCAATAGAAGCAAACTGGGCTTGAAGAGAGCTAATAATTACTGCTCTGATCTCAGCATGTTCTCTCTTCTCCTTCCCAACCCAGAGCATGTCTGTTCGATCCTGGCTTCCCTCCTGCGGAACCTGAAAGGGCAGCAGCGGACCCGGCTTCTGAATAAATTCACAGAAAATGACAGTGAGAAGGTAAGTGCTTGTTGAACTGAAAGAAATGGGACCAGGACAGGGAGGGACAGAGGGCTTTTTCACTTGGTCGGCCTGAAGGCTGAGTGTGTCTGCTTGAAATTTCTATAGCATCTGGGACTCATTATTTTGCATTTCAAAGGGTTTTTTCCAGTATTTCTCCCTCCTACCTTCTGAGAGGAATAATACCTGAAAGTGATAACATCTAGTACCTTGCAGAGAGAGGATGGTGGCTGTTGAACCCAGTAGAATTTGGGGGGAGAGCAGTGCACAGCAGAGCACAGGTTAAGAACATGAACCGTGGATTCAGACGTCAGGATTTGCACTTGCTTTGCTCCTTTTGAGAGGGGTGCTACTCTGAGCTTTACTTTCCCTGACTATCAAATGGAGTCACTGATGTCTGTCTTAAAGAGTCAGTGGGAGGAGAATTAAATGAGTTCTCCCTGGGTGCTGGTGGTGAAAATGAAGATGAGGGTTGTAAAGTAGCAGGGCCTGGCCTCGAACTGTAGAAGCTGGGAATGGTCTTATAAATGAGATTAGGGGGGTGGTGGCTATGACTATCTAGCAGGCCAAGCAGTAAGACGTTAACAGTAGTAAGAGTGATTACTTATTGACTAGCAGGAATTGGTAAGGTAGCTGATGCCTTTTGTTGTTGAACGCTGTTGGCTCACCCCTGAGTAGACAGTATCCACGTTCACACGTAAGCAGATTGGATTGTAGCAATCTTAGATGACTTAACCAAGATCCTGCTTCTAGTAACAGAGTTGGAATTTGAACAGTGGCAGACTGCCTAAGTCCAAAAGTCAAACCAAACATAAGTAGGCATTCCCAGATGAATCAAAGTAAGAAAAAAAGCTTAACTTACAATAGTTTCTTTCTTATCTGTGTCTAAAGTGGGGCTGAAATTTTTTCCTGCTTTGGGAAAGATTAAAGACTATTCTTTGAGCCTGCCTTTATCTTTTCCTCTTTTACTAGCAGTGTTGCGTGGTAACAGGCCATTGAATTAGGGCATCTTGGCACTCATGTGGCATCATTCAGCTTCTGGACTTCAGTTTCCTCATCTTTAAAATAGATATCATCTTTCCTGCCTCACTCATCATGGATTTGGGAAGGGTTTTTTCCCTTTGAATTTTATTTATTTTGTTGTTATTGAGAAGATACAGAGCAAAACGTACTGCTGAGCAGTTTGGTTTACTTAAGTACAATTTAGTGACACTGATGACGTCCTTGGGGCTGTTGGGATCACCCTCACCCTCCCAGCTGAGTTGTTCTACTCATTAAACACGTCATTGCTCCCTACGGTTTCTGTCTTTTTAAAAAAAAAAATAAAACCACTTTAGGAATATTTTTGGTTTAAGAGGTATCGTAGGGCAGTATGGTTTTGTTTGTGTAAGGAACTAATGGGCTTTAAAATACTTGGAAAATTGAAATATACAAGGTTTTAAGATCATCATTGTTAGTGAGAAGGTTTAGGCAGGGTCTTCCTAGAAGGTCAGGTGCCACTTGGAAGCCACATTTGCCATTATTACCAGGACTAGTGCCATTGTCAGCTCCTGGGTGAATACCAGGATGTCCAAGAGCCAGGCTCATGGCAACCTAAACAGAGACAGAGGCCGGCCTTACTACACAGTAGCCTTCAATCTTTGATGAGTCTTAAGGAAATACGAAACTTTCAAATCCACTGAGAGAGTTCCTCAGGCTGTGTTTGAAACATGACATTTGCCACTTTCAAAACTGATTTTTAAGTTACTGCTAAGCAAAAAGTCAGTGGTGTTTTTTTTTCCTTTTATAGGGTTTTTTAACTTGCTGAATGAGTTTTTCTTGCACTCTCTTTTGACTCAAAAGCAACTAAGGAGCTCTTATTCACACTTTAAAAAAATAAAAAAGATCAGCTCTAGGGAAGTATCTGAACATGAAAGGTTTTGGATAGAGAAGAGAAATTTCTGTAAGTGACTATCAAGTAGGTAACTTCAGACTCTCTCCCTGCAAGAATTTTTATTTATTGGTATGATTTTAGCAACCTGAATTCACGGGAGACCCAGGAGGCCTGGGAATGAGCCGTCTTCATTTGGGAGCAGGCCAGTATTTAGGCTGCATCCATCCTAAATGTTTGCTTTGTTCTGTCCCAGCTCTTTGACCTGCTCCTGGTGTACCTCCTGAGGAAAGCTCGTATCTAGTGAGAGAAGTGGTAGAGTGAGTCCCCACGTTGTAAGGAGTGACAATGAGATGGATAGAATTGTGCTGTTCTCTTGTGTTGCTTTTCACTGTCCTTCTCGCTCATGCCTGGGAAATCTCTCTTTTCAGGTTGACAGACTGATGGAGTTGCATTTTAAATATCTGGATGCGATGCAGGTGGCTGACAAGAAGATTGAAGGGGAGAAGCATGTACGTATCCCTGCCTATCTGTTCTGTTGAAGCGTTTTCTTATACTGCGGGTGAAAGTTTACGTAGATTGGCTTTCCTTGGGGTTTCGTATGGATTGCTCCTCGACATTGATTGCAGTCCCCTCAGCGTGTCCGCACTCTCCCTGTCTCCTCTCTGGGCTTCCCACTTGCCTGTGCCTGGTGCCCTTTCCTCTGCCTTTTCATCTTGGGTTTAGACATTTGTTGCCCTTTTGGTCTCTGGTGCGTATTTTAAGGAGCACATTCTTCACAGGGATTTTTGTCTGTGTAGCTCTGGTGGGTGACCTCACTATAAGGACCACATTGCAACCCCAGAGGCATGCAATTCAAATCCACCAGCTGCTGTGTGAGAGTAAGATGGCAGTTTAACTGTCTGTGTGATTTAACTGCCTTTGAAAACCCACTGGAAGCTAGGAGTAGGTTTTGACTCAACAGTACACAACAACAGCAATGTAGTCTCTTGTCTATTATTTGCTGAACGATGACCTCCAGGAGTGTCCCTTTTGTCAGTTACTTACTTGCATTCCGTTTGTATCCCTTGTGCCTCTCATATCTTCCCACAGGACAGGTAAAGACAAAGGTATCTTCTGTCACCTACCATGTTGCAAGAGCTGAGCACATGGCTGGATGCTAGAAGTTATAACTGCTCTTTGGCAAGAGCAGAAGTACTTTAAGAGGCTGGTGTGTGGGATTAATCTACGTCTTACCTAGGAGTCTAGGTCATGGGCCAAGTACCCTTAATAAAAGCACCCTTAGTAAAAGCTACTTGTAAAATCTGACCAGAGGGTACTGATGTGACTTCGTTGGCAGAGTGCGCCCTTCCCACCTCCCTAAGTCATAAGGGAAGCATTCTAAGGAAGGATGATCACAGGATATAAAGACCGTAAGGGTCCTAAGAGACCAAATCCAATTCCCCTGTTTACAAGTGACAAGCTAGAGACGAAGAGAATGGAATCTCAGATTCATTGCAGCAGAGTCTCCAAGTTTAGACTGACTGACCTTTATTTTCTTATGCTGCTTTTTACTAAGGGGAGTAAAACCTGTCAGATTTGTTCTTCTTGAGTGACTGTGCTTACCATGGAGTTTTTCTACCTTCTGTATTTGCCACCTGCTTCCATTTTGTTCTTTGTTGATTCTTATCCACACTCTTTAATAGGGCCTGTTTCCATGTCTGCTCTTTAATATGCAGTTATATTCCCTTCCCTATAAGAAGTCCATGGTCACACTGTTTCTTGCTTTTTTTCAAGGTCTAGGTAAACCTCATTTTTTCTTGTGAATTTGATTTGCACCGTCAGTCTATTTTCTTTTCACTCATCTTGCCTTAAATATGCACTTGAGGCTTTTGAACTCCACTGTTCCAGTACAGCCTCCTATCTGTGTCCAGCTCTGGGACCAGGTTCCGGGCATTGAGAATCAGAGAGCAATTTCCCTCAAGCTACGCCTCAGGCCAGGGTGAAAACTAGAGCTGGGAGGGGGATGGTGACCTCGTTGTCTGTTTTTTTCTCTTCACCCCTTCTTAGCCACACCTCCTTTTCTTAAAACTCATTTATGCCTTTGATTTTTAATACCAGTAGCAACCAGTGAATGTCCCAGTTTTAGCAGCAGTATTTTTTTATTCTTATAATTCCCTATAAACCTGGGAAGCTCTCCGGTGTTAATTGATTGATCAAATCGTTTGACTGGGACTTCCTACTTTTATAGAAAGATACTACTACTACAGAATGAAAGGCAGAGACTATAAAGTGTGACCCCAGACTTTTTAGATGCGTTGTGTTCCAGACACAGTTCTGTCTATGCACACAACTCACCAGCTTTGTTTAGATTATTCTCTCCTTTTCTGTCTTTTCGTCCTGTACTGCAACATGTGCATGATGGACATTTAAAGTACCCGAATGCCCTGTATCCTTTCTCCTAGACTAAATGAGACATTCAGTTAGAAGCATATTGGAATTTTCCTAGATTTTTGCAAGGGAAAAGCCCCGAAATCGTTAGAACTCCAGCTCTGATGGGACCTCCCAGCATTGTCTGCTGGAGGGGATTTTGAGAGGGGTAGTAGTTTAAACATCATCCAGGGGCCTTGGAATTTTGGTATAGAGGGAGACAAAGGATTGACATTGTAAATTATTTCATCTTGCTTGGAACAACAGTCAACACCATTAGTACCAGCAATCAGGAGATCTGGAGATTTGCTGTACTAGGAAGGTCTGTAGTCAGGAACCTCTCCACGTTTATTGAGGAGCAGTGATGTTAGTTTGAGGACTAAGGTGCACCTGATTCAGGCAAAGGTATTTTTCAGTCACTTGCTGCGGAAAGTAGATAGTCAACAAAAGAGAAAATCTCCAGCATAAGATGAATAGATGCAGTGATTAGAGACCAGGGTTCAAGGCTGTTGATTGTTATACTCAACAGCGTGTAACAGCAACCACCTCTAAGTCATTGCCTCACTATGACTTGCCATTTTGCCTCGGTTTCTTGGTAATTAAGTGCAAATGACCTCCAAGGTCTCTGTCAGCTTGGTTTCTCCCTGTTTCCACTGAGCTGGTTTTGAGCACTAGAGTGGATTAAAGGCACACTGACCGTTTGAGCAGTAGTTGAATTGTCTTCTAGATAGTAGAGCAGCCGTCTAGTACAAAGCAGTGGATGAAGTGAGCTCTCAGACTGCTTTGGACTAGAATTCCAGCTTCTCCACGTCTGAGCTCTGTGACCTTGGACCGATGAGTTAACCTCGCTAAGCTTTGATTTTCTTGTCTGTAAAAGGGGAATAATAACCCATTCTGTGGTAAGAAGATTAATGCCAATTAAGCAGTAAGTATGTAAAGTATGTTGCTCAGTACACAGAGGCTGGAGCTGCTGCTGCTGCCACCAGATCTCTCTAACTTCCTCCCGAATTGTGGTGTGACTTCTGAGCACACACCTCCCCGCACGCCCCAGGCGTCACTCTCTAGGGCTGGCATGTTGGCACCATCAGAACCTTTGTGTGAGGTAAAGCTGGAGTAGGCTGTTTTTGAGAGAAACCAAGTAGGCAGTTGGGCATCAGGGAGCAGCTTTGGTGGAGCTGTTCGGGAGCTTGGCCTGCTTCCCACAAGATTATTGAAGAGGGTGTGAAGTTGATTAGCACTGACGGAGAGTAATCGCTGCAGCCGCTCTCCTCAGCAGCCACGGAGCCTCGGCATGCCACAGGCGCCGGGGCCCCTGCCATCCCTGACAAACATCTGTCTCCTTGATGCCAAGGCCATTTTGCTGGGCACCGGCAAACATTCCAAGGCCATTAGTGCGCAGCAGCCTCGGTTGCTCGGAGAGGCGGGGCGGGGCTGGGGCTGAGGGATGCATTTGTGAGCTGCGTTCACTGCCAGAACTCAGCTCCGTCCTGACAGATGAAACCGCCTTCCAGGTGTAAAGAGGCTTAGAACAAAGCGACCTTTCTCCCCACCTCTGTCTCATGCGTCTTCTTTCTTCAATCATCAACAATTTGTCTTCTCACTGTACCCCTACTTAATTCTGATAACCTGCACCCATTCAGAACTCGGCAAATAGATTTTTTTACTTAAATTGAACACTTCTCAGACATTTTGATCACATTGCCAAATCAGTAATGAGTCTCATCTATTCCTTGCCCATAGTCTACAGCAATAAACCTTAGGTAACAATATTAGTCACTGACCGAGAAAACGGGGTCCAGTGTTGACAGTGTGAGTGTCAGAAAGCCACATCTCCCCATAGACTTCAGAGGCTTCATGGGTGCAGGGAGTGTCCAGGTTTGCCGTTGACCAGGATTCACTGGAGAGAATCCAGTCGTTTGGCAAATGTTTGTCAGCATCTGCTCTGTGCAAGGCACCGGGCCAGGCACAGGCTGGGCATGGGGGATGGAAGTGCCAGGGAAAGGAGGGCCTAGGAGTGGTACTGCTGATGAGAGCGGATGGGGTCCAGGGAGCCATCATCGTCTCCATCCAGTCCCCCTGCACCATTCCATGGATGAAGCCTGAGTCAAGCAGGACCTTAAGATGAAATCTAGACAGGGCATTTCCAGCTGGGAAGGAGCCGTAGCTCAGGAATGACCGTGAGAGGCTAGGTTAGTTCTTAGGGTGAGTGCTTTGTTAAATGTCAGGGGATGGGGAAGTGAGAGGAAGAGAAAGGGCTCAAAGTACCATTTTGAGCCCTTTCTCTTCCTGCTTCTCTGACTGTGGACAGACTGCTTATCTGCCCCGGCCTTGTTTTTATCCTTGATGTTTTGTTTTTACATGTATGTCCTAACATGTGTACTTTGAGAATTGCATGTGTAAATATTTGGTGGCCATCAGTATGGCATGTGAAGACTGCTTGCATAGTGCATGGTGCGTAAGGATGGTCAGAAACCCTTTCCTTTTCTCTCTACAAGGATATTGCCCCCACTCCCACCCTTCACACACACAGACACACACACTCTTTTACTTTCTTAATTCCAATATTGCACGACCTTGCATGATCTGGCCTTGCCCTACGTCTTTAATCCCCTCCCCTGTCCTGTGCACCACCTTCCTACCTTACGCTTCTGCCCTGGCTCTTCTGTGTCACCCCATCTCTCACCAGTTCCAGCTTAGATGTCCTCCTCAGAGAGGCCTTCGGTGATCACCGTGTGAGAAGCACACCACTTCCCCTCACGCTCCTTTATAACTTGTCATTATTTATCTGTTTACTCTCCAGCTCTGGGGACCGTAATCGCTCTTGTTCATCATCTATACTTAGAACTTAACATAATGCCTGACATTCAGTAAATGAAGGACCATTGCTCGTTACGTGAAATTAATATTTGTCCCTGGGTGTTAAGGAAAATAGAGGATCACCTAGGGGTTTTCGGCATCATTCGTGAGCTCTAATTTTTTTAAATGTTAGGTATTGCGTTGTTGTTGAGACTATAAAAAGCGAAGTACACACTAATTCAACAGTTTCTGCGTGTACAGTTAATGATGTTGATTACAGCTTCAAGTTGTGCAACTGTTCTCACCT